TAGTAATAATTTCTTTTATTCAAAAGTGTTTTACTGGAAATACTTTTTAAAAAAAAAAAAAAAAAAAAAAAAAAAAAGCATTGCTGGTAATTCTTTTACTATAAAATGTATTTTTATACTTGCATAGTGCTTTGACCCCAGTTTGGGGGTTGACTATTTTCCCATAGTTGGGAGCCTAACATGTTCTAGTATCTCAGTTTAGAGTGGACCTGGGAACAACAGCAAGTAAGAGGTGGTTCCACGATCCTCAAAACTTCCTAATCAGATATAGTTTATCATCATTGGTATGTCTCTTGAAAGCTGCTCCCCCCCCAAAAGAAAAATAAATTCTTCAGTTGATGGAAATTCGGATTAATTTTCAGATACATGTTTCTATCCTTCACTCTCCCAATTTAATCTTCAGCTATCAACTTATCCATGATGCAAAGTTTGTCATTTTCTTATTAGAGGAAATAGATTCAAAAATTTAAACTTCTTATTCATAGCCATTTACCAAAAAAATTTTTTTTTATTAGGATGGCAGAGAGGTATCTATTTTACCAATTTATCTCCATCTAATACATTTAGAAAACTGTTTAAGGAACAACTCTGCAACAGACCATTTCCCCAATATGTAAACAGTACAAACTCTCATGACAAGCTTCTTGTTCTCACATGTCTCTCAGACTTCTGAAGAATGGATTTATTTGAAGCTCTTACAAGATAGCCTCTCATCACTCTTAGAAAGAATCTCCCAACAACCATATCTGTAAAATTTCCTTTACACTATTTACATTATTGAGACTGTTATCCTCATCTTTATTGTCATGTCCATGACGTTTCAGCCATTGTATGCTCCAGCCTTCCTCAGGTGATATATGTTAGAATTTTGATCGGAACTCTTTATTTCCTCCACTGGAGTAGATGGTTCTAGTTCCACGCCTTTTCTGGATATCTCAGTCTCAGTTATTTCCCTTTAGTAACTCAACTAGAATAATATACCCCAGTGTATGAAATAAAGGGTTCAGTTTGAAATTCCAACATATACTACCTGAAGACGGCTGGAACGTATGATGACAGAAACATCGTGAACATAAGAAACATCAGGACAACAGTCCGAACATCATAAACAGTGTAAATAGTAAGAAATATAGACAAAAATCTCCTTTGTAAATGAAAACTATACATGTATAAATTATTTTAGTGAAACAAACTTCGGCATTTCTTATTTACATGAGGTCATGACATATTGCAATTATTATAATGGCATTAGAAATTATTATTACTATTAAAAGGAAAAAGAGATAGGAGCAGAAACTGTACAATAATACACTTTTATTAGATAAGTAGGATTTTTTATTTTTTTATTTTTTTTTTTTTAAATCACTTCACCCCAAGCAAGGCAATCAAGCCACTAAGATGTAAGGAGTTATTGAGTGTTATAGAATATGAGAAAAAGATGAACACTATTAAGTAAAGAGAATAATAAAAGAACTGGAATTAAGGAAATAGAAGATAATGATGGATATTGGATTTCAATTTTTGAAGATCAATGCTATTAGAAACAAGAGAGGCTGGAAGAGAATTTCATAAGTGAGAAATCTAAAAGGAACTGTTAGCAAAGAACTTGGATCTTAAGTCGTTTCAAGTGTAAAATGATGACAAAATAAAAAAAAAAAAAAAAAAGTAGAGACAAAATCAATTTGAACACAAAAAAGTCAAGTGATGTAAGACCTAGTTGATTTAAAGCAGTGGTTAAAATATATCAGATTCTGTGGCAATAGCGAGTTCAATCCCTACATCAGGTAGTGCTGAAATGACACTATCAGTGGAGGAAACAGACATGCAACACAAAAGGCGAACAAGACATGTGAGTATTAAATTATAGGAGTTATCTCCCCTAAGCATGTAAAGCAGAATGAGAACAAGCTATCCCTGTGAATTCTGAAAAGATTAGTGTGTTTGAAGACAGACACCTGAAGAAGTTTGAATAGTACAGCAGCCGAAACGTTATGAGTCTAACAATAAAGATAAGCATGCTGATCCAAATAGCAAAGCAAGTAATAGCCAAAAAGAACCTGTTATAGAGTGACTATTAGTAAATTAGTGGCCGAAATTGTTAGGAGTGAATTCAATCTTTATAAAGTCTGAAGCTCCTCTGGCATTGTACGAAATTATGTCATGACTAATAATAGCAAATAACAATTAAAATCCTGAAAACCGTTTGTAAAGAATTTATGTTCAATCTATTTTCAGAGGAGATTCTATTTTAAAAATGATATGAATCAACATCTAAATATTAATAACATACATGACACTTTTTGGTGAAGATTGTATTGCACCAATCTTCCATGTAAACAGGTCTGCCTTGAAAGTCAGCATACAACAAGTATGTTTTTACTAGAGTTTGATCAAGTGAAAATAGACACCTACTTACAGCATCACAGCACGTCTAGGAGTTGATTCTTAGCTCAACTTTGTCTGGCACAAAGTCAGAATAATGCAGCACCCAATCAGTACTAAACTCCCTGCATTCATGAATTGTTCAGTGTGAGAAGTTTATTAAACATTACATCTCAGTGACCTTGAGTGGTTTCTTGGGCCTTGTACTGGGTGAACAACAGCATAAAAATAAAATACTAATAAAACAGTGAGCACACATTCAAATGTTGATGACCTGCAAGTATATTTTTTAAAGTTATTTTTATTCCATACCTATTTACAGTCATCTATCAGAAGTGCAGCTAGTGTACTAATATGGCATCTCAAAGTGGAAACTAAAGTCGACATTCTGAGTTCAAATTTCAGCTGAGTCATGTGTTTACTTTCATACAAATATCCTTGGGGAAAGCATGAATACATCTCTTCTCTCTCCAACTAATAGTTAAATAGGAGGGGATATAATGGTGGCAACCGGTCTAAGAGAAGTTAAACCATACAGAATGTAATGAGAAACCATTCCACTACCTTTCCAAAGAAAGCATGGCAATAAGTGGAATTATATAATTAGTTTATTATTTGATAAATTATATATATTAGATATCATTACATAAATATCAAGAGCTGTAAAAATTGTAGAACAAAAGTTATATTTATTCATTGTGGGAGCAGAGAAAATACTTCCAAAGAACTTTGCAAAAATGATCACAACAGTTTATAACTATCAGAATAAGATGTTCTGAATTATGACATTACTGCTATATGTGAGTAGACTAAAGAGAGATATGTACCGTTAATTGGTTTTGAGCAAGGATCCCTAAAATTCTCTTGGATGACAATGCAAATAAACTAATAACTGAAATTGCAAAATTACTTAAAAAGCAAAGATCAAAAGAATAAAACATATTGCAAAAAATATGTTATTACTATAAATGTTACATTTACTGGGAACATATGTTTAAGTAGACTTTTTTTTTTTTAAATGGTAAAATTAATGTCAACCAGCTTAGATCAATTAACTTCATTGTTAAAAACGGTTCATTCCTTTTACAGATTATCAACCATTTAAAGCCAGAAAATATTGAGATTGCAAGAAATTTTTTTTTTCGGGTTTAATGATTTACTGATACAAGTCATACCTTTCCCAAGGGTATTTTGCACATAAATGAATGTAACAAACCAGACTGGAATTGGAACTGTTGTCTATTACACCACCCACACGTACTTATAGCACCTGACATTCCTAAGTAGTCCAAATCTAGGTACTGTCTAGGTTTGACATTACTTAACCTTAATGATCATATAAGAACCGGTGTTTCCATTTGTTAAAAAAAAGGGAATGTCTACGGAAACACGTGTACCCACTAAATTTATTGTAAAATATACATGAATGGATTCATAGTCATTAAATTCATGAAGTGGAGCTACAAATACTTTTGAGATTTGACCCAAGGACTATCTGCATTTCATACAGAAACGTTTTTCATTTTTCAAGCTTATTTACTCAAGATAGAGTAAAGATGAAAAGAAAAATGATTTACATTGCCTTGGTTATAAAATGAAACAGTAAATTTAAGCCTTTCACAATTCAACTGCATTTTACAGAAACTATGTGTTCTAAAGCAACTTATTTCAAAGTCAAATTGTTTGCACCAATGAAAAGACTTGGGGGTCACAAGAATTTCTAATAAGGCAATAAAAACTGATGATTAAATAATGATTAATACAAACACCAATTCAAAGTGCCTCCGTCATGCAAGAGTTGATGACGATCAAAGATCATTGAGCAACAGCTGCAGAGCATTATGCATTGACTGCAGATGCATCTTTGAAGGAAAGGAAAAAAACAAAAAACAAATATCAAAATTTCAGTTTGTATGTAATGCTTTTGTTAACAAATCATTTTGGCTTAAATTCAAAATTGATCAAAAGCAATTTCAAAAGAATCCATGAAAAGCAATTTCTCTTAAACCTCAAACAATGGCAACGAGTCATCCAAGTAATATCCAAAAATTATTTTTCTGTTGACTAGAGACATTGTATCGAAGAGATCACAAATGTAAAGCAGTGATCAATTATAAGGCAAGATAAATAAATGGAATAGTAGAAGTGGCGGGGGGGGATTCAATTACCTTATGTGAAATATAATAGTTTCCATGGATACATATACACATACAGTGTGCATGCATGCATATATAATTGTGCATTTGGGTAGCAATTCTTCTTTAATACATGTTTTATCAACAAAAGTACCTTGTCAGTGGGATTTAAGTTTTTCATTATATTTTTCTTATAAGTAAACAAGTATTTTCTTATTTGGACTTAATTGATTGACTTTTTTTTTTTTTACATCTTATGAACATTTTCCAGGTTATTTAAGACACAAAATATTTTTAGATAGTAAGAATTTTTTGGGATGATAACAATTTACTGATACAAGTCCTACTAATTAACACATTGCTGGGGGGGGGGGAGAAGAGATGGGTTCATACCTTTCCCAATGGTATTTGCACATAAGTGAACAGAACCTGACTGGAATTGGAACCCAGCTCTCAGAGTTCCAATTCCAAGCCATCTTCAGTTACAGCACCTGGTATTCCCGAGTGGTCACCCATCTAGGTACTGACCAAACTCGATGTTGCTTAACTTCAATGATCCTATGAGAACCTTTTCTAAACTTAATGAGTGTAGAAAATCATTAAGTCCAGAAAACATGTTCACATACAAGAAAATTATTATAAAAATGTAGACATATTAAAAACGCATTTCATAACAAAAATTATCCATAAAAAAAATAATAAAAATGTGCTCAATCTATGTTGAAAGCGATCCGGAAGGTTGTTTTTGTTTATCCATCATATTAGTTCTGTAATTTATAAATTCAGATGTCAGTGCAATGCTGACTATGCAGGCAGACTGGGACAAAGGTTAGAAGCCCAAATCAACAAATATGTACCAGGCAAGAAAAGAGTAGACAAATTAGATAGGTATCAGGTTCAGCAATAGCTGAACATTTGATTAAAATCTAAGAGTGCACTTGGTCTTATAATCCAGACATGTTCTCAGTGTTAAGTAGGGCTAATATGGATTATCACTTGAAAGTTTTGGAATCAGATATTAAGTCGTACCAGCCATCTCTTTGTTAGTAGGATGAGTGTTTGGTGGTCTTAATGTTATTTTTTTTTTTTTTTTTGGCATATACCATTAATCTGGGGTGGGTTGTTTTTAGCCACATTTTATGCACATTTTTTTTACCTCAATTTTTGGTCGGATGTGAGATTTAATTAAGTGATTTTGCCTTTTTTAATTGTTAGTATATTTTGGAAATTACTATTTTATGGTGATATATTTGTTACCTTTCCTTTTTTTTTTATAAAATGTTTTTTAATGTCTGTTTTTTATTGCTCTAATAAAATTTTGTATCCTGCAAAAATATAAAAAAAAAGTTTTAAGAAACTAACTTAGAAAATAGAGCAAAACAGGGGTGCATCCACTGAATGTCTAAGGGAAATGGCAGTATGACAGTCTTATGAATAAGTAACTACAAGGAAATGTATCTTTTATATTTAAAAAGGAAAAATAAGATAAATCTATTAATGATAATCTCAAGGTTAGTTAGCAAGAGAATATTAAATTATTTTTAGATCTTGTGATTAGAAAAACTACTTAATACTATTGCCCGGTTATTTTAGGAGCTGACAAATACAGTCATGTGATGATATACATTATTACAGTAACTTCTAAATGCCACATTTATTCAGGATATGAATGATCACATCTCTCCACAACCTCCAATCCTTACTGGCCATTTGCAGCATTTCTCCCCTTGCCACTATCCGTTGGTACAAGCTTGTCAGTTAGGTTGCCTGCTGCTTTCCTTTATCTCTCTTGCCGGTGATATGCCCCCATGTGAGTTGAATTTTCCAAGCCCACCTTCCTCATTATCTGTCCAAGAAATTTCAGCTGCCTCTTTCTGATTCTGAGAATAAGTCTTCTTTTTGTTACCATTTTCTTTAAGACTTCTTTGTTGCATACTTGCTCCAACCATGTATCCTTCTGTAGAACCATATTTCAGGTTGTTTCCAGTTTCTGCTTCATCTGTGGGGAGATTGACCAGCATTCGCTGTTATAGAAGAGGACTAATATCACACACTCCAGCACTCTGTTTTTTTTTGGTTTCTAACAAAATTTTCCTTAGAACTAGTTTGATAAAAGTTAAATAAGGTTTTAAGGCAATCATAAGGTTATCATCATCAGTCCAGTTTTAGGGTCACTACTCAACTGAGCATCTGATCAGTTCCCTCAATATGCCTATTCATTCATGTGTAGCATGATTTGGGCAAAGTAGACTCTTCAGGCTATAGTAAATTAGTGCAAAAAAAAAAAAAAGAAACAATAAAAGAAAGTTATACAGCAAAAACCATTTATTGCAAAAAAAAAAAAATCATGTCAAAGCTTAATCATTTTATTTGCATCATTGAGACCATTTGTTAGATATGTTTAATTTGGCTTCTACAATTGATTTTTACAGCTTAAAATTAACAAATGTTTTTAGAAAATATTTGAGATTTTACAATCTGGTTTAAATCCAATAAATATGTGGCATTATCATATGGTATTTTAATGACATTCCTCCTCAAATTTTTGCAAGAAGCATAACCTTGGAAATGTTCTGATTAAGGTGGGGGAAAAAGTGCCTGGTACAGGTAAATTGAGTCAATTTTTTTTTTTTTTTTTTAAATCAATTCATCATTTCAGTTAAAATCAGAATTAATTCAGGCTGTCCACAAAAAAAAAAAAAAATAAATAATCTAGTTTTTTTTTAGTTATTTTTTTATTAATTAAATTTTAAAGTAGTGAATTTTTGGTAACCAAATTTGTCCATTTTTATTGATTTTTTTTTTTTTTTTTTTTTTTAAATCAAAAATTTACAAGCATAGTATCTGTGAAAATTTCTTGGATCAATCTGTTAATTGTAAAAAATGTTACACACACAATATAACTATCAACTGCCTGTTTATTTCCACAAACAAGAATTAAGGATACAAGGCAGTAGAGAACAGGTGAGAGGGAGAAAATGTAGAGAGTAAGTAAGAAAAATGGAAAGAAAAGTAAGTTAATGAGGAAAGAAAAAAAGAGGAAAGGATGGCAAACAGATAAAAAAGCTTTACTGTCTTGTGTTTTATTATTTCTTTATATTTTCTTTGATCTTCTAAAGATTATATTAGTTTTATTTTTAAGTTTTGGATCATGATTAATATCATCTGTCAAATATTAGTTATAGCGAGAGAGACAGCAAGAGAGAGAGGGAAAGACAGACAAAAAAAAAACAAAAAAAAAACAGACAGTCCAATCAAAAAAAAAAAAAAAAAAAAAAAAAGATAAAAAAAAATAAAGGGGCAGACACACGGCTGTTTAAAACCCATGTTTTTGTCATATAGGAAAATCCAACATGGCACATAAATGAAATATTCAACGAAAAATCTCATTTGTCAGTAACATTTTAAACACCTCATAGAATGTAAAGTTCTTAAAGTAAACCTGTGCCAAACTGTTTTCCTGAATCCTTGATGACATGTCGGAAAAGGACAACAGCAAAATGGAATAATGGAAACTGACCGTGAAAAACACAATTATGTGCAACAAGTTTTTGATCAATCAGTAAACTTCTGGACCTTTTCGAGCGATGTTATAGGATCCAGACGGCTATTTTTTTTACACATGGAATTATTCACTGGTAATTAATCTTCAATTTGGCTGTGGAAAATATAACTCGGCAGTTAGCATTAAGAAATTATGTCCAATTTTCTGAGAAAAATCACTTTTTTTTTTATGAAAAAATATTTATCTTCACTTCAAAATAATATTCAAAGGTCATCCCTTTCTCCTTAATTTGGTGTGAACATCATTGAATAAAAGGAATGGCTAAATGGTTTGGTAATGGGAAATATGAAAGACATGCAGCAAAAAAAAAAAAACACTGTCGTCTGCTAAGTGTTGTTGTCATCACCTGAGTCACAGGGTGTTAAAAACAAAACACATCAAGTCATTGTTCAAACATGGGTTACATCAAGCCCTACTAATGTTGACCCCTTTTTATTTTACTCTTTGCTCTTATCTAGGAGTGGTGGGTTTTATTACAAGCTGACCCCAACTTGTTCTAAACATTTATTGGCGGCTGGCTGTCTGACCTTTGACCTAGAGATGTCAAAGTCAATTTGGCTTAATTTTCCTTATTTCTGCTATTTTTTGGGGGAAAAAAAACAAAAAAACTTTTGGTTTCTGGTGGTCAGGAATTGCAAATAAATCTTTCTCCTTTTACTAAAGATTTCCGTGGCCTGGTGTAAATTTTTTTTTTTAACCACTGGCAGTCATATAATTGAAAATTACCAATGGACTGTCACATTTTGTCCCCCTGGGAATGTTGATTTCCTTCAAAACGCTCAATTTTATGCCTGAAATAGTTTGATTATGATTTAGGCTTTCTGATCCAAAAAAAAAAATGGTTAATTTCCGATTGGGGAAAATTTTTGTTTCGAAGTAGAAATATGCAAAATTTTCACTATTTTTTTCACATTTTATCCCCTGAAAAAAAAATTTGAGTCATTTACACCAGCCAATTTTACTTTTAAATGAAAGAATATATCCTTTGCTTTCAGAAAATACCTAGTTTAATGGGGTTCAGTTCAAAAGTTTCTTTGATATTTGTATAGATGATGATAAAAGTCGTTTTTCAATATTTTACCGATAAAAGTACAAAAATCCATTTTTTCAGAGAAAATAAGCTGTGACAAAATGACTTTTGCCATTTTTGTGATGATTTTTACTTGGGATAGAAAATTTTTACCATAGCAAACATGAATTGACTTTATTTAAGTTCAGTGGGGCTATAGGAAACCACAAACAGCTGTGGACAAAAAAAATAAGAGACAGACAAAAAAAAAAAACCTGGTACAATGATATACGATTGACAGAACGTGTAAATTAGGCATATTAGGCCAAGGTTTTTATTGATTGTAGGGAACATCTTGTATATAATGCATATGTACACAAAGAAAATTCTAATGTTTGGTCATTAATTCACATTTTGGCAAGTGGCATGCACTGAGAATTTGTTCCAGTACCAAATGGATACAAATACCTACAAATGGAAACCAGTGATGTCTAATCCATGTCCAGTCACAGTTCATTAGAACTCTTCCCATAAGTTTTGATATCATGTCAAAACAAATGAAAACAATAGTATGTGGAAACATGGGAACAAAATTGTAGGAGACAGAAAATAAAACCTGTAGGATTCTGAAATTATAAAACTGATGAATTCAGAAAACAGGGCGATAACCACAAACTGTAGAATTGCCAGAAATGATGTTCAAACAGATACCAAAAAAAGTAAGTCCATCTAACATACTTCAAATTCAATCGTTCACTTTAAGGATAGTTCTCCAAATAGAGAAAGTTGCAAAACAAAGCACAAATACAATAAAGACATATTTTTAAATGAATGTATAGACAGACCAGAAAACGAAAAAGTATTAAGAAAAATTCTGCAATTTCTTCATAACAAAACTCCTATTTTGAGGAAAACTCAAAAACCATTGATTGTTTGTTACATTCTTCTGTCACTCATGATCTTCATCAGTGATAATATTTAACCAAAATCTTTG